TTCCTTCCTTCCTTCCCTCCCTCCCTCCCTCCCTCCCTCTTTCTCTGTTTCGTTCCTTCTTCCTTCCCTCTTTCATTTTTTATTTTATTCTCTCCCTCCTTCTCTCCTTCCTTCCTTCTCTACCCTTCTTTCTTTCCTTCTTTCTCTCCTTCCCTCCTTCTTTCCCTTCTTCTTTCCCTCTTTCTCTCCTTCCTTCCTTCCTTCCCTTCTTCTTTCCCTCTTTCTCTCCCTCCTTCTCTCCTTTCTCCCTTCTCTCCCTTTCTTTCCTTCTCTCCTTCCCTCTTTCTCTCCCTCCTTCTCTCCTTCCTTCCATGCTTCCTTCCTGCCTTCCTCCGTTTTGTGTGTGTATATGCATATATTTGGTTTTCTGCGTGCGTTGTAATGTATTTTGGGGTTTTTGTTTTTTAAGTACCTTCTGTTGTGTTTTCCAGTGTTTTTATGAGTGACGGTCACTCGTTGGCCTGAGAGGTGTCTTGTGTCCAAATCTGGTGTCCAATTTGCTCAGTGGTTTTTCAGTTCTGTTAATCCCACAAACGAACATTACATTTTTATTTATATAGATTATTAGATACATAACAAGATGAATCCACAGCAAACAAAGTCACTTTGGTGGCTGTTTATTGGATCACATGTTGGACACTTTCCAAGTGTCTAAGACTATGTGTTGTATTGGTGAATAATGCGTGCAGATCCCAGTAGGGTGGCCTTTTGCAGCTGACAGGTGGTGATTTTGTCAGCGTCGATTGTTTTTAAGTGCAGGCCAAGGTCTTGAGGCACTGCACCCACTGTGCTGATCAACACTGGGACTCCCTCTCCTGCCAGAGTCTTTGCAGTTCGATCTTTAAATCCTTATATTGTGGTGGAGGCTCCTTCTTTGGAAGCTTTTGAACAGAAGCTGGATGGCCATCTGTCGGGGGTGCTTTGAATGCAGTTTTCCTGCTTCTTGGCAGAATGGGGTTGTACTGGATTATCCTGCTTCTTGGCAGAATGGGGTTAGACTGGTGTTGCACTCCAGGACAGGAAAAGCCCTCTGACTTTAAACACCACCCCGTTTGATAGGGAAAACAATCCTTTTATTGAAGATAATGAAAAAGCAGGAAAGTAAAAAAGCACTTTAAAGAAATAGGTAAATCCAATTAGGTAGGAAGATAAGCAGGAACAAAGTAATCCAGGGTAATAGTCCAGCAAAGTTCATCAAAACAAAGTCAAAACTTCCCTAATAAAATGCAAGAAATCAGGGAACATGAATCCAAGGCATGAATATAAAAGCATAAAATCCAAGAATCAAAACCATGAAACAAAGACACTTAAAACATGAATTTTCCAAGCAAGGCTTCCATGAAACAAGGACGAGATCTTGACTTGATGCCAAACAATGCTTCATCTGACTACATATCCTGTGCTTGGGACTTTTATCTCCTTGTTAGCTATGCCTCTAACGCTCAGAAATTGGTTTTGCTTTAGCTGATAATCTCTTATCTTTTTCTCTCAGAGCCTGGCAGAACGCCAAAGCCACTGTTCGACTCTCCTGTTTTGACTGATCTCCTCCTGTCTACCTATTTGCTCATTAATTTCTGTAGCTGGGTCAGGTGCTGAGCTGTTTGTACATTGCACATGGAGCCACACCGACGTGTTTTGGTGCCTCCTTCCCTGTGTTGCTGCTCCGCCTCAGCCTCTGCTTCCTTCCTTCCTTCCTTCTTCTCTTCCTTCCTCCTTGCAGGTGGGCTTCCTGAAGATCCTGCACAAGTACGAGATCACCTTTGTGCTGCCCTTTGTGCCGCTGCTGGGCCGGGACGTCTGCGCCGCCCCCCTCGCCAGCCTCCACCTCCGGGTCCTCAGCATCGCCCCCCACCCCGAAGGTCAGTCTCTCTCACGCCCAGGTCGCCGGTCTGGAACATCTCCACTGGCGGGCAGTCATGTTGAGATATATGTGCAGTCCTGGACTGGATGGCCTTTGGGGGCCCCTTCCAAATCTATGAAACTATATGTAAAGGCAGTCCCCAAATGACAAACATCTGACTTAACAGACAACTCAGAGTGAAGAACTGGGCTGGACTGGATGGACTTTGGGGGGTCCCTTCCAAATCTACAGTACCCCATCTACCTTATATATATATCTATATATATCTATAGATAGATAGATAGATAGATAGATAGATAGATAGATAGAGGCTATCCCTGAGTTAGAAATTTTCAACGTATAAATGACTCCTAATTAAGAATGGGAGTGAAATAACAGGAAGTGAGAGAAATTTTAGGTTCTATATTATTATTGTTATTGTTATTTTATACTAGCTGTCCCCTGCCACGCGTTGCCGTGGCTCAGTCTGTGTATATGTGTTTTGTGTATGTATGTATATATGTGGTTTTAAGCATGCGTTGTAATGTATTTTTAATTATTATTATTATTGGCTTTTTAAGTCCCTTCCGCTGTGTTTTCCAGTGTTTTTATGAGTGATGGTCACTCTCTGGCCTGAGAGGGGTCTTGTGTCCAAAATTGGTGTCAGTTTGTCCAGTGGTTTTTGAGTTGTGTTAATCCCACAAACGAACATGACCTTTTTATTTATATAGATAAGTAAAAAGCATCTAAGTAAAAAGGACTTTAAAGGAATAGGTAAATCCAATTAGGTAAGAAGATAAGCATGAACATTGTAATGTATTTTTATTTTTTGCCTTTTAAGTCTCTTCTGCTGTGTTTTCCAGTGTTTTTATGAGTGATGTTCACATGTTGGCCTGAGAGGTGTCTTGTGTCCCAATTTGGTGTCCATTCGTCCAGTGGTTTTTGAGTTCTGTTAATCCCACAAACGAACATGACCTTTTTATTTATATAGATAAGTAAAAAGCATCTAAGTAAAAAGCACTTTAAAGGAATAGGTAAATCCAATTAGGTAAGAAGATAAGCATGAACATTGTAATGCATTTTTATTTTTTGCCTTTTAAGTCCCTTCTGTTGTGTTTTTTGGTGTTTTTATGAGTGATGGTCACTCGTTGGCCTGACAGGTGTCTTGTGTCCAAATTTGGTGTCCATTCGCCCAGTGGTTTTTGAGTTATGTTAATCCCACAAACGAACATTACCTTTTTATTTATATAGAAGTTATGTAAAGGCCATCCCCGAGTTACAAACATCCAAGTTAACAGATAACTCAGAGTTAAGAACAAGGCTGGATTGGATGGCCTTTTGGGGTCCCTTCCAAATCTATGATACTCCATTTACCTCATATATATCTATATATATAAAAATGTAATGTTCGTTTGTGGGATTAACATAACTCAAAAACCACTGGACGAATTGACACCAAATTGGGACACAATACCCTTCTCAGGCCAACAAGTGACCATCACTCACCAAAATACTGAAAAACACAACAGAAGGGACTTAAAAGGCAAAAAATAAAAATAGATTACAATGTTCATGCTTATCTTCTTACCTAATTGGATTTACCTATTCCTTTAAAGTGCTTTTTACTTAGATGCTTTTTACTTATCTATATAAATAAAAAGGTCATGTTCGTTTGTGGGATTAACATAACTCAAAAACCACTGGACGAATTGACACCAAATTTGGACACAAGACACCTCTCAGGCCAACGAGTGACCATCACTCATAAAAACACTGAAAAACACAGCAGAAGAAATGTAAAGCAAAAAAATAAAATTACATTACAATGCATGTGCAAAACTACATATATGCACACACGGATTCCTAAATCAGGAGTAATATTAAATTCATCTATATACATAAAAATGTAATTCTTGTTTGTGGGATTAACATAACTCAAAAACCACTGGACGAAACTGACACCAAAATTTGGACACAAGACACCTCTCAGGCCAACGAGTGACCATCACTCATAAAAACACTGAAAAACACAACAGAAGGGACTTAAAAGGCAAAAAATAAAAATACATTACAATGTCCATGCTTATCTTCTTACCTAATTGGATTTACCTATTCCTTTAAAGTGCTTTTTACTTAGATGCTTTTTACTTATCTATATAAATAAAAAGGTCATGTTCGTTTGTGGGATGAACAGAACTCAAAAACCACTGGACGGATTGACACCAAATTTGGACACAAGAAACGTATCAGGCCAACGAGTATCACGTGTGTCACATGGTGTCATCTCCATCTAGGCCAGGCCTGGGCCAACTTGGGCCCTCCCTCCAGGTGTTTTGGACTTCAGCTCTCACAATTCCTAACAGCCTACCGGCTGTTAGGAATTGTGAGAGCTGAAGTCCAAAACACCTGGAGAGGGCCCAAGTTGGCCCAGGCCTGACCTAGATGGACTATAGGACACCTCATACGGACTCGGCCAGCTTGGTGAATGTACGCAATGTGTGCGTTTCTGCAAGGCCAGCTGAGTGACCGGTTTGCATGCCTGAGCCTCCTTGCACACCCGAGTCCCTATGCTGTGGTCGCCAATCGGTGTTCCTCCGCCTGGCTCTGTGCACACCCTGCAGTGGACGCACGTGCGGTGGCGGCTCCGGCTCCAGCGCAGAACAAGCCGTGCTTCCTCCCACGTCTCTCTCTCTCCCTCCTTAATCCTCCTTCTCCTTTTCTTCTCTCTCTCTCCCTCTCTTCCTTGCTGGCCAATCCACCTAGTGAAGGGGGCAAGAGAGAGAGAGAGGTCTTGTCCCAGATCCGGCCGGACAATGGAACCTGCAGCCCTTTCTGGTCTGGTTGCAGGACTGGACACATGCTGGCTCTGCACCATTCAGGCCAGTGTCACACACCACCCTCTCAGAGGCATCAGATTACAACTCCCAGAATCCATTGCATTTGACTCCAGGTGCATGAGACTATAACTCCCAGAATCCATTGCATTTGACTCCAGCTGCATGAGACTAAAACTCCCAGAATCCATTGCATTTGACTCCAGGTGCATGAGACTATAACTCCCAGAATCCATTGCATTTGACTCCAGCTGCATGAGACTAAAACTCCCAGAATCCATTGCATTTGACTCCAGGTGCATGAGACTATAACTCCCAGAATCCATTGCATTTGACTCCAGCTGCATGAGACTAAAACTCCCAGAATCCATTGCATTTGACTCCAGGTGCATGAGACTATAACTCCCAGAATCCATTGCATTTGACTCCAGCTGCATGAGACTAAAACTCCCAGAATCCATTGCATTTGACTCCAGGTGCATGAGACTATAACTCCCAGAATCCATTGCATTTGACTCCAGGTGCATGAGACTATAACTCCCAGAATCCATTGCATTGCACTGCAGCTACATTGCATTGGATTACTACTCCAGGAATCTATTGCATCAGACTCCAATTCCCAGAATCCATTGCATCAGGCTCCAATCCCCAGAATCCATTGCATTGGACTCCAGATACATCAGACTACAACTCCCAGAATCTATTGCATTGCACTACAGCTCCCAGAATCCATTGCATTGGATTACAACTCTCAGAATCCATTGCATTGCAGCTCCCAAATTCCACTGCATAGGACTGCTACTCCCAGAATCCATTGCATCAGATTACAACTCCAGGAATCCATTGCATTGCACTGCTACTCCCAGAATCCATTGCATCTGATTACAACTCTTGGAATCCATTGCATTGGACTGCTACTCCCAGAATCCATTGCATCAGATTACAACTCCAGGAATCTATTGCATCGGATTCCAACTCCCAGAATCCATTGCATTGGGCTCCAGGTGTATCAGACAACAACTCCCAGAACCCATTGCATTGCATTGTAGCTCCTAGAATTCATTGCATCAGATTACAACTCCAGGAATCCATTGCATCGGACTTCAATTCCCATAATCCATTGCATTAGACTCCGGATGCATCAGACGTCCACTCCTGGAATCTGTTGCATTGGACTTCAACTCCCATAAGCCATTGCATTCTATTCCAGATGCACTACACTGCAGTTCTCAGAATTAATTGCATTGTACTGCAATTCCCAGAATCCTTTGCATCAGACTACAACTCCCAGAATCCATTGTATTAGACTCCGGATGCATCAGACTACAACTTCCAGCATCTATTGCAATGGACTACAACTCCCATAATCCATTGCATTCTACTCCAGATTCACCAGTGCAATGCCCACAATCCATTGCCTTAGACTGCAACTCCCAGTATGCCCTGAATCGAACTGCCATTCCCAGAATCCATTGCATTAGACTCCGGATGAATCAGACTACAACTCCCGGAATCTATTCCATTGGACAACAATTCCCATAATACATTGCATTATACTCCAGATGCACCAGACTGCAGCTCCCAGAATTCATTGCATTGCACTGCAACTCACAAAATCCTCTGCATCGGACTACAACTCCCAGAATCCATTGCATTCTACTCCAGATGCACAAGACTGCAACTCCCCGAATCCTTTACATTGGACTACAACTCCCAGAATCCATTGCATTGGACTCCAGATGCATCAAACCACAGCTCCCAGAATCCTTCCCTTTTCTTCTTTCCTTCTCTCCTTCCTTCTATACCTCTTTCCTTCCTTCCTTTGCTCTTTGCTTCCATCCTTCCTTCTATCTTTCCTTCCTTCGTTCCTTCCTTCCTTCCCTCCCTCTTTCCTTCCATTTCTTCTTTCTTTTTCTCCTTCCTTCCTTTTCTACCTCTTTCCTCCCTCCCTCCCTCCCTCCCTTTTTCTTTTCCTTCCCTTTGCTTCCATCCATCCTTCCTTCTCTCTTTCCTTCTTTCCTTCTCTTTCTCTCCTTCCTTCCCTCCCTCTCCTTTCTTCCTTCTCTACCTATTTCCTTCCTTCCTTTGCTCTTTGCTTCCATCCATCCTTCCTTCTCTCTTTCCTTCTTTCCTTCTCTTTCTCTCCTTCCTTCCCTCCCTCTTTCCTTCCCTTTTTTTCTTTCTC